TGCAGGTAGTGCACGCCTTTAATCCCAGCACTCGGGAGGCAGAGGCAGGCGGATCTCTGTGAGTTTGAGGCCAGCCTGGTCTACAGAGTGAGATCCAGGAAAGGCGCAAAGCAACACAGAGAAACCTTGTCTCGAAAAACAAACAAACAAACAAACAAACAAAAAGCACCAGGCCCAGCTTACACACAGAGCCTCTGGAAAAATCAGCAAGTGGAGTTGATCAACCTCTAAGGGTTAGGAAAGTGCACAAATGAAAAGAAAGTGATTCATTCCCAAGATTCTTCTCTCAAGCCCCCAGCTTCTCAGCTGGCTTCCTGCACCTGTCCATCTGAACCAGCAGGGCCTGGGGATACCAGGTACAGCTGAGGATTGTTTAAAAGGCACCAGCAGCTCTGGAGGCTGACCTGAGAGGGTTGCTGATATCCACTGACAAGCCTGGACACTGAAAGGAGAGCACGAAGAGGAGGAAAAAGAATTAGAATTAATTTTTAAATCTGGAAATAAAAGTCTCACAGATGAGGTTTAAAAGAAGAAGAAGGAGGAGGAGGAGGAAAAGAAGAAGAAGAAGAGGAGGAGGAGGAGGAGGAGGAGGAGGAGGAGGAGAAGAAGATGGCCAAAGTAGGAAATTTGAAAGAAAAATTGTTGAAGAAATGTGTAAAAGGGAAATGTCTAGAGAGAAAAGTCCAAAAGAGAAATGTGGAAAACAGGACAGAAAATGAACATTAGTGGATCAATACAGGAGGTTTAAATCCTACCTGCAACAGAAAAGAGAATTGAAAATAAAATTAAAAAAATTAAAAAAATTAAAAAAAAAAACAACAACAATGATGTGAGAAAACTTTCAAGCTGTAAGGATGTGCATTCCCAAAGCAGATAAGATGATCAGTGACCAGGACAACAGTTGGAAACAGACCCATTAAGGCACATCATTGTTCAATTTCAGAATATTAGAAGCTAATAGGTCATAAAAAATAATAATAGGGGTTGAGGATTTAGCTCAGTGGTAGAGCACTTGCCTAGCAAGCACAAGGCCCTGGGTTCGGTCCTTGGCTCCGGAAAATAAAAAATAATTAAAAAAATAATAATAATAGGAATCAAATTGGCCAAACCTCCTAATCTACAAGAGTAAAAAGAAGCCAGTGAACATGCCTTCACATTTCTGAAAGGAGAGTGATTTGAAAACTAGAATTCCCCATTCATGCTATCCAATCACCCAAGTTCAAAACTATTGAACTCCAGCAACAAACACTCTCTCTCAGGACACTGCTGGAGAATGCTCTCACAGAATGAGGGAATATAACCAAGAAAGAGAAAGATGTTAAACCCAAGATCTCATATAAGGCAAGTTGTACAAGAGAAGAAAGGAACCACAATCTAACCACTAAAGATAGAGGAAGAACAGGAGAAGAGAAATAAATGAGAGACAGTATTTTGTATGTATCTGGGTTTCTGGGAAGGGGTATCAAATTCTTATCTCACATAAGAAAATCAACAAGTGATACATGAAACAAAAGCATCTTGAGATGTAGCAACAGGGACATGTTAAAAATATAATGGGAGCTGGAGAGATGGTTCAGTGGTTAAGAACACTGGCTGTTATTCCAAAGGGCGTAAGATTTGGTTCCCAGCATCCATATGGTTGCTCACAACTGCCTGTGATTTCACTTGCAGAGCATCTGATGCCCCCTTATGGCCTCCTTGGGCACCCTTAGTGATATGAGACATACTCATACAGTAACACAAATGTACACATAAATAAAATCAAATCTTAAAACGATGGAAAATACAACTGTTAAAAACTTGGAAGTAGCTGCTTCTGTGGAGTAAATATGGAATACTTGAGATTACAAGCCTTTATCAACTACTATGTGGTACCATATGACTTCTAAAATATTTGTACTTTTAAACAAAAATATTAGGGTTGGTTGTGTGGCTCAGTGGTACAGTGTTTGCCTAGCAGCTGTAAAGGTCTTTAAGTGGTGGGACCACAGACATACACACACACACATCAAACAGGACAGAATAGATAGATGTGAACAACTTTTAGGATAATTCAAACCAGCATCACTTTATATTTAAAAACGAAAGGAATCTAGCCAGGTGGTGGTGGTGTACATCTTTAATCTCAGCACTTGGGAGGCAGAGGCAGGTGGATCTCTGTGAGTTCAATGCCAGCCTGGTCTACAAAATGAGTTCCAGGACAGTCAGAGCTGTTACACAGAGAAACCCTGTATCAAACAACAACAACAACAACAAAAGTCTCCTGCACTCACAGATTCTCAGCCATAGTTATCCTGTAAAGTTACAGAGAAAATTCTGGGGAAAGAGTCATCAAACACTGGAGGGAGCACAGCATTAAGGTTGGGGAAGGGATGGTGATAATCACACTCTTTTTTTTTTTTTTTGCTGTTTTGGAGACGGTTTCTCTGTGTAACTTTGCGCCTTTCCTGGATCTCACTCTGTAGACCAGGCTGGCCTCGAACTCACAGAGATCCGCCTGCCTCTGCCTCCCGAGTGCTGGGATAAAAGGTGTGTGCCACCACTGCCCGGCCACATTCATTTTTAATATGTACCTCTGTGTTGATTTTTTTGTGATAGATTTTGAATAAGTGAAGAAGCAGTTATGGAAATATGCATTTAGTATGGTCCCCCATTGTATGTTATTAAATTGTACCTTCTAATGTTAGGTGTAAAAAAAAAAATAAATCAAAGGAATATTTTTTTGTCTCAAGTATTACCCAACTCCCAATTTAAGCAGTAATAAATTAACCAGATCTAAATAATAGAGAGGCAGGCACCCAGCACTCTGGTCAGCCAGCCACCTATAGCCCTAGGGCTCCACGAGCACCCTCAGAGCTCTGGACAGCATTGTCTGAAGGCTACAAAGAAAGGAAGTTTGCTTGAGAATCACATCCTGGAAAAGAGCAAGACTGAGCATTCTTCTTTTATATCACAAGCACACACAATCACACACATAAACACTCATGCACAGACACAGACATAAACCTTTCTCTCTCTCTCTCTATATATATATATATATGTATATATATATATATA